TAGTACAAAAAACATTAATTTGATTTAATGATAATAATAACTATTTCTTTTTATTAAATAAATATTTATTTAAATCTGGAATATTTTTTCCAATGTACTAATTCTAGAAATTTTGAAAAAATCATTGTATGAAAAATCCTAAGAAAAAATCGCTAGAGAAGGCATTTATTTATAACTCAATTAAACATATTAATCAAAAAATCAAAGTTTCCAATAAATCATAACTATTTTCAATGTTTCAAAAAAAAATCTTTTGATCTCAGATTTAAAAATTTCAACAAAAATTTAATAAATCTTAATATAGATAAAATATTTTATAAATCTATTGTTAGTGTCTCGTATGTTGTTATTCATAATTCACAATGAAATGATTTTCTCTTTGAATCGCGAGCTTAGTTATACAATGAGAAAATTTATGCTGACTTTGCAGAACGGAATTGCGCAATCATCATCACTATGTTTTCTGACTTTGTAGAAATCCAAGAAGTCCGAACTCCACCATTGGAAAACATTCCTGGTTGCGTACGTCGCTGCGAAGAACGCCTCCTTGGTAAGAAAAGGACACTACTAATCATCTTTGTAACAAGCGTTGCTTACTTTTGTATGCATATACATACGCGCGCGTAATTTCGCGTCTGAGAAATTTTTCGCCATTCGTTCGCAGTGCCGTAAGAAACGCGACGATACGTCGTCGCGATGAGACAATGATGATTCCGCTGCGCCGTCTTGGCGTGCGAAAAAGATCCTCGTGGGAAAGCGACTGACTTAACAACATGTTAAATAACGTCATTAATGCAATAACTGAGATAAGAAACCTGTTAAATTTCTTGAAAAGCGCCTGCGTATCTTTGGCCTTCAATCTATACGAAATGACGGAAGCAAATTCATACAAAACATTGTTACCTAAACAATTGCTTTCTGTTTCCTGTTCTGTTCGCTTGATTCTAAATACTAAAACAGAGAAAATGAATCAATTCTTACTTTTTATATACACTGTAACTTTTATACACACTTTTCATATAATAGCAGAAAAATATATTGGTTTTGTTTCTATAATTCTAATCTGCCAAAGCACCGGATAAGACGTTGAGTAATACTTACAAGTAACTCATTAGGCCGCCTTTGATTTGGCTTATTTTTTATAGTTTTTTTATTTAGTATTTGCAATGAAAGGAAAATAGAATAAAATAAAATAAAATTTAATTGTTTTACTTATTCATTATTTGATACAAAATTTCTATGGAAAAAATGAAATTTTTCTTTAAAATTACGATAAGGACAAAAAAGATCAAAATTGATGGGCGTTCACATAATTTAGGCTTACATGTGAGGATTTACAGATTTTCCGATTTTCCGATTTTGGAAAAAAAAAACGAAACATAATTTGGAATCATTTGGCATAAATTTCTTTTTTATATTATTCTTTTAAATACTATAAAATAAAAAACCACTATTGTACATAAGCCAAATCAGAGGCGATCCAATGAGAAATGTTACTTATTAGAAAGATTACTTTTCTGATATAATGAATGTAAAAATCTAAATTTGTAAGCACGAGGCAGATTGCTGCTTAGTAAGACTGACAATATATAACATATATTGATAATATTTATTTATAATATGTATCGTAATTCTCTCTCTCTCCCCCCCCTCTCTCCACTCGCGGACTCTTTATAGAAATTACAACTTGGCTTATGATCAAAAGTACATTTGATCGTGTTTGGCAACGCAGGAGATAGAAACGCAATATAATTTGCTCGAATAATATCTAAATATAAACATCTTATAATAAAACGTGTGTTTGAATGTTAAGGACAATATTTTCATGCTTGCAGTTCGGGCAGAAAGAGGCTCAGTTCTAACGCTTTAGCAAGGTAAGAAAACACTATGCAATATTTTATATATATATATATATAAATGTATAGATTATCTTTTAATTAACTGGTAGTTTCACTGTCTGTTCCGAACATGATCTCTTTTTTGCAATCTCTCGCGTTTTTTCTCAATTTACCCGCGCGTGCAAAAGAAATGAATATATCTCGGATAAAAGAGTTCGCTGGCCGTAGGATGATGCCTCCGCATCAAGGTTAATAATTCCCGAAGTCGCTCCTTTCACGGAACTTGAATCGACGAACTTTCTAAAACGTGGGCGTGCTTCTGTTACGTTACGTTCCATACCCACGATTTACCTCGATATTAGCGTTTCCTTCTACGCTACCATCGTTACGTTTAACTATGTACATACGTGTCTTATCCGTCTGTTAAAACGGGCAAGGATGAGAAAACATTGGTCGCTCACGTACGACTTGAGTTCCTTAGAGAAATTCTAATACGACTTATACATATTGTCGATTTGATGGCAATTGAAAAATAATTTTGTCATTTTTACAAATTAAAATGTCTATTTTTTAATTGTCAGAAAAGACTTTCACTAAATATATCTTTTTCTACATTTTTATTATGTACATATAATTTTTGAAATAGCTTTCTGAATTGTTATGTGTAATATTAATACTTTCATATAACAATTCGAAATTTCCTTTCAAAGTCAATGATTCCTTCATGTGATATTAAAAGAGATTTTTGCTATAATATTTGTAGCCAACTTTATCGCAGTGGCAGCTTCAACAGCTCTGGAATGGGCTCGAATTACGATGCTACGGACGATGTATATAGCGATGTATCCTTGGAGGACGTCATGGATCTCAGCCATAAAGTAAGACTTACAATTTTAACATAGGTTTTTTAAATTTATTTTTAAATCAGAAGCTTACTCGAATATAGATGAATTTCTACCTTTTTATTTTTCGTCGCTTCGAGCCATGAATTATTCCCATTTTGAAAAAGTGCGATGCGACCCGAACGGAGTCGCAACAGAACGCAAAGATTCGTTTGTCAACTTTCGTGGAACCACCAGTTCCTCATTTAACCTGATTTGTAAAGTCATTCGCAGTCAAAATTATCTCGGTGGAAGTCACTTTTCCTACGTACCGAGGATGTGAAGTATCCCTCCCAGATCCTAAGAAATTCTAGGATCTATTGCCAATGTGCGCTACGCGTTCTCGTCAACCTTACGGCGGCGTACATCGTAATTCTGAGAGGGACCATCCACATCCCGCGGTACAGGCTCCTCATCCCGTTCCTTGTTCTTTTTATCCACCTTCCGCGTATCCACGTTGCCCTTCATACGATCCTTACATGATATATCACACATATCCGAACTCACTTTATCCACCATCTTATTGCCTTCACAACGTTACTAAAGAAGAGTCCGCGATTTGGTCTTGGTCTATCGTTGTTTTCCTCTTTCTTCTTGCGATCGGTTTGCTTGTGATTGTTTACCGTAGTATCTCTCGCGAATCTCGCCGAAAGATCATTGCTTGGCTGCGCTTGCCCAGGCTCGCTTCACAGGTAAATCCCACTTCCTCCAATTTTATTTTACAGTTGTCTCACGGAATTAATTCGATCGAATTGAAAGATATTTATGAATTTAACTATTGAATTACTGTTCATAATCAGTTTAATTATTTTGTATTTGTTCCACTTGCCCAACTTGCACAACTGTGAAATAACAGGGGCGGATGCTGACTTTTTGATATTTAGAATTAGTTAAAGTTATATAGATCTATCATACAATTTTTAAGAGATAGACAATTATTTCCGAATAATTTCGCTGGCGACATATGAAAAAGTCGATTTATTTCCGGCCTGTCCAAAACTCACAAGCTGAAACGCTTTCATCTCTCCACCGCGCCGTCTCGATATAGCAAGATGAAGCGTAAATAACACGTTGCTGCAATATTGCTGCAAACTTTTGTATGAGAATATACTTTTGTATAATATCATATTTTCTGTAATAAGAAATAAGGATGCCTGAAGAAGACCGATATAGCATCATTATGAGTGTCACAGACATGAGAGAATGATAGGCAAAATAAAAAACGGCTATTATATTTGCAAATTGAGAGACGGGCTTCCTCGACTCTACTTGGACAGGCCTGATTTATTTCAATACTGTGAGAATGAGTCATGAGGTCTTTTTTTTCTGACATCATTATCTAATGACTGCAGTGACGAATCCAGGAATTTTAAGTTTCACTGATAATTTCCATGACGACATGAATCCGCCCCTGCAAACAAAGAAAAGAATGAAACGACATTTTTATCGATATTCATAAACCACTCCACAAAGAAACTATAGACGCAGATAAAGCTTAATGCACAATTGAAAAACGCAAACAATACAAACAGAGAATAAGATATTTCACCCTATCAGAAATCGGGTATACCAGAACATATTCCCTTTTTCTATTGTCTTGTGCTTTTTATTGTGTTTTTGGCTTAACACGTAATATCGTATGTATCTTTTTCGCCCTTATTGCGCAGGGCTCTAATCGCGGGGACTGAGTTCCTTTCATAAAGAGATCGAGTCCCCTGCATGAGGAACCTGCCTTGATTTTGTCCATCTTTCTCGACTCGTGCAGACCGCGAAGACACAAGACGCGGCTCAGAATTATCCCGCGGAATTTATCCGATGTACCGAGCGGAACGGAGATCACGGTTCTTCGTTCGTGGATCCCGGCGAATCTTCTTCATTAACAGATACGATAACGAAGACATTCGTAAATCCCGCTTACGAGAACAACGATCGAGACGAAAGCGAAATTGAAGACAACGAGTCTGTCCAAAACGAGTTCGTGATAGATACTATAAGATTTCGATCAATCCATCGATATTTCCATTTCGAAAAGTGATTGCCAATAACAAGAAAAAGTAAAATCTGAAGTACAAAGGACTCCAACACAATTAAAAGAAACGAGTAGAACGCCCGATTGAGTGAATACTGAGTCACCAACGAGAGCAAGTAATAATTATTTTTTACAAGAAAAATGTCTATTTTATTTAGGCAAGATTATGGAATCGATGCAATTTTTATAGAAGAATAAACTTAAAAAGAATGTACTTTTTCAAAATTTTTGAAGTGTATCAATTTAATAAAAAAATTTTAAATATATTTTTTAAAAATTATAATAAAATTATCCAGAAATTGTGAAAAAATTTATATCATAGAACTTTTAAAAAATTATATGAAGAATTAAAAAAAATATTTCACCAGGGAAACTATAACATACAGCTATAATGTTTTTAATGAATCCTTTATATTAAATTTGATAAATAATTAATATTTATAATAATAAACTTTTTATGTCATAATTATAATACACAGCTAACGCAATAGAGATAAAATAAATAAATTCTAATATCAAAAGTTAATTCAGAGAAAGTTGTAGAAAGTTAATGAAAAATGTATATCGTTAAATGGAAGCATGTCGGGGGCTCGTGTTAATCGTTAGGTTTGCATTATCGCGAATATACGTAGCGACCATTCCCGCATTTGATCCGATCTCATTGAAATTATACTAATACGATATGCCAATTCCCGACTAATTTTAAGGCATGATGCATAGTTCCGCTACACGCGAAGCCTTATACACGTTGCAGATAATTTCGTGTGAATATACCTGTAAGGATGTTGGATGTACGTACAATGGTGACGTTGTCACGATGGATCGTCAATTAAATTGGCAAGTTCGCGTGTGTGCCCATCGCATCGTAGCGAGAAATACGTAACCGTCTGAGTAATTTACGTATTCATGTACGTATGTACAACATTACGGCACGACGGGGCTCAATCTAGATTGATGGAAGAAGTAGCTTTGTCGTAAGGTTTTTCTTGATGAAATTTCAGCACATGGAAATGTGAGCCGTCCGCAAACCATTGCATTTAATGGCGTTCAACATGAAATCGCGAGTTAGCCTCATGAACAAGTCCGCTTCAATCGTAATGCGACAATAGCTTAGCATAAGCTCCGGTTTAGAATAGGTCAGGGATGGGAAAGTTACTACGTAAAAGTAGTTAATTATCGTTACAATTACTAAAAAAGTAACTTTTACTTTAGTAATGAAGAATTTTTTTTTCTGCCATTTAACATATCAACAATGAAACTATTGGACTTCAAAAAACAGTATAATTCTTTTTGTAAAAATTCGATTTCTTTTGTTCGCTGATTAAAATGAAAAAAATTACCCTAATCGCTAAATTCTTCATTAATGGGGTAACTTTCACTTATAATATAGCATTTCCCTAATCTTGCGTATACGTTTCTTTTCAAGAATAGAGGCCCAGCATTAGCTTCAGCATTAACAGTGAATATAAATGCAGCCATAATCAATATAAGTTACGGTCTACTTAATGCTACAAATGTTTTAAAGCATTCTCTAATTGATCAATTAGTAAATTTCTTTCTTCTGCTTGATCAATTAAAGGTTTCGAAGCATTTGCAGAGCCAAGTGGACATACTAAATCGACAAATAAGTTGAAATATGTATAAGTCGAAATTATTAAATTAATTAATTATTAAACTAGTTACTTAAAAAATGTAATTAAGTTAAGTTACAGTTACTAATAAAAAGAAAGTAACGAAGTTAAGTTATAATTATTGAAAGAAAGTAACTCTAACTATAACTTCGTTAAAAGTAATGAGTTACTTCCCATCTCTGGAATAGATGCAGTATTCCTTCAGTCTTTTGCTCTAGCAGCTTTGGATTGTGACGTTAATCTCCTCTAATGTAATAGCTCTAAACTTTATAGTTGAGATCTGTAGCGAAATTCTGTAACACGTTATATATTTATAATGAAAGTTTGTGCAGCTTTTTTACTATAAAAATAAAATATCTGTCATTAATAACTGTCATTATGAGCACATAACGATTGTATAACGCGTTACAAAATACAGGGGCTAGTTGCTTAAAGATCTTTTGTTTTGGGATGTTTAATAAAGGTTTTCAGGAATTTTTTTGAAAAACCTGTGCGACCTTTTTATAGGCTTGATTTATTGTTCATTTAACTCTCTTCAGTAAAGATTTGATATCATTAAATATCTAAAAATAAAAAATTAGCGTTTAAACGAGGTACTGGCATAAAAAAAATGCGGTATGCATGACATCTCGATTCTAGATCTGAAACAGGAATGTCAAGACATTTTTATTTATGAATAATTAAAGAGAGACATAAGTTTTGAAAAAGGAGAAAAAGGGAAAAATGAGAAAACAACATCAATTTAATCTTAGAATGCTGTCGATATATAAATACATATGTATATACGTATATAAGTAAGTGAGATCTTTGAGCGCTAATTGAGTTATGCTTTCAGTAGTCATTAGGAGGTTCAATACCATGTTAAAAGCTTGAACAAGCAGAGACAAGTTTTTTAAAAATTCTGTCCATTTTTTATATAATGACTGTGTTTAGTAGAGAAAATTGCAGGTCTACTCTGTAACTCTTAACGCGAATTTCGTTATCATTTAACGTTACTGCGCAGCATTGTAACGTTAAAAACTTGCATTAAGAATTACAGAATAGATCTGCTAATCAATGAGCGCTCAGTGATTCTTTAATATAAGTTCTTGTCTTTACTTTTTCGCTGAATCTAAATATAGGAATCAATTGTTAAAAGATCACTAAACTTACTGAATAAGATTTCTTCGCTAAACGCAGCCAATCAGTTAAAATCACCTCATCAGTTTAAATCTCCTGGTAGTATTATAATCAGAATCTGGATGTCAGTGTTATTTTCTCCACTCCAAGCGGCGAAAAGCAATGCTACGTATAACGGTCCAACCGCTAGCATACCAAATGCCTTCGCATAGGTAGAG